GGTTCCTCCCCTATTTCGATCATAAATCTCTTGAGAAATCTGAGGAATTCGATGGACCTTTCCCCAGAAAAACACAGGTGCACACAGAAGTTTGCGTGTAACCCAGGGTGGGGGGCGGGTCAGGTCACAGGCTCCCTGAATCATGTCCACAGATCCCATACTGAAAAGTCAGCTTGATGGAAAGTCAGCTTTTCCGCCCCAGAGGAACCCGCCTCTCTGCCTCTGTTTCACCTTGGGGTCCCCTGGCCAGCTGCCCACCCCAGATAGCAGCTGAGACAAAGGCAGTGCCTGTCACCCCTCTTCTAAGGCTTCCGGGACCTCCCTTGACCCTGGCTCTGAGGCAATGCTGCACTCCCAGAGAGGCTGACCTTTAAAGCATCACTGCAGATTTTTATGACCCATCTGTGAGTTCCAGGCACGCTGGAAAATGTGAGTTTGAGGCTCAACTCAGCGAAGCTCCAGGCTGTCTTGAGTGTCTGCTGCTCCGCTCACCGCAGTTTGGGCGTGTGGTAAGGCCAGGACTCCCACTTCCCATTCCTTTTTTTTTTTAGGCCAGGACTCCCTACCTTCCCTATCCTTTTTTTTTTTTTTTTTGGCTTCCATTTACTAAACTTTTATGCTGGGTTACAAAGCCTGACTTCTCCAATGTGGAGGGCACTGTTATTAAGCCTTGTTCTCCATCAGGGACAGTGAGGTTCAGATAGGTGAAGCAGCTGACCCAGGTCACACAGCCAGGCAGTGATGAGGCAGGGGCTTCTGTCTGGGTTGTTTGTCCCCAAATGGCTGGCATCGGGCAGTGGAAGCTGCCCTCCTTAACCATTTCCAGAGTGAAGCCAACAGAGTGAAGTTGCTGCCAAGGACCCAGTGTGAGGTTTTCTCTCCCACTTAAGAGCTCCCAGGACTCTCAAAGCCTGCAGCCAGCACCTGCTGGGAGTCAGAGAGAGGGTTGATGGCTGGGTGCAGAGAACATTTCAACTCCCTGTGACTTCGCCGGCCACCTCTCTCTACTTGAGCAAATCTGAGCACTCCGCCCACACCCACCCATCATGCTCTTGGGTGCTGGTGCCCTTAAGGCTGACGATCCCCTGCTGTGTGCCAGCGGGATGGGTGCCTGTCTGTGTCCCAGCTGCCACAGCCCTCACTGGCAGGATGCACTCATAGCCTGGGCACAGAGCCATCTGTGACATCTCTAACTGGTCCCAGTCACACCCTCAAATGACAGCCAACCCGGACACTAGAAAGTTCCCTGTTACAGTGAGCCATAATCTTTCTCCATGTGGGCCCCCCAAGTTTATGCTTTGAGCGAGGGGCAGCACAGGGGACTCCTCCCCAGGGCCACCTTGCTAACATTTGAAGGCAGCCTTTCCAATGCCTCCACTGGAACTCTGAGAGCCTGCGCCGCCCCCTAACCGCCCTGGTGGCCCCAGCTGAGGGGCTGATACCAGCTCTTCCAGATTTCTCAAAGGGGTGTCCACTGACAACTTGCTTCGAAACTCCATGGGAAGCTCATTAGAACAGGACATTCCCATCCCATCCTGGGGGATTCCGATCCAGCAAGCCCAGGCCCGGAGTCTGCAGCACAGTCTCCCTCGCCCACAAGGTTAGGAACCATGGGCTTCCGTGAAGCCAACAGAGTGACATGGCGCAATGTGAAAAGTGCAAATCCACCCTCCAGCTCTGCGCTGGCCAGTACGGCAGCCACTGGCCACACGGAGCCATCTCCAGTCCAACTGACATTGATTAAAATGAAATAAAAACATAAATCCTGTTCTTCAGTTACAGTAGCCACATTTCAAGGACTCAACAGCCTCATGTGGCTAGTGGCTACCATGCTGAATAGCACAGAGTGGGAATATTTTCCTCATTACAGAAATTTGTATCAGAGCTGTTCTCGATATTCCATTTTTTCTCCTCCTCCTCCTTCTAAAGGAGAGGAACAACAACAAAGACCAGCACTGAAGGACGTTTGAAAGAAGAAAAATCATCCCCAAATCCCACCATGCCAGCATATCTATTTAATTTTTGGCAGACTTTTTGGCCCATGTCCACAGATCTCAAGCTCACACATGAGTCCACTTACGGTGTGCATGAATATCATTTCCTTTTTTGGATGGGGCATCAAGAGGCCAGGAGGAAGATCGGACACACCCAGGGACAACATGTATGGTTGAGCAGGTTGTGCACTGCACAACTCCAGGGGCAGCATTCCCTATAGATTAGAGTGTGACTGGTGCCCACTATAGTTATGCAGTTGACAGCCTGCTCAATGATACCTCTCTTTCCTGGAAATAGCTGCATTCAAGTCCTGGCTTCACCACACACCAGCTATGTGAGCTCTCTGGGCTAGTGGCTTTGCCTTTCTGAGGCTGGGTTTTCCCACTGTAAATGGGGACAGCAGTACCTAAACTGCTTAGACAACGTCTGGCACCTGGTAAGCACTCAAGTAACATTAGTTATTATGTGGGTAACTGTTATAACCTCACCATTTTATACAGCACATTCAGTGTGACAATGCGGGTTAAGTGTTTCTTGCTGTGGGCGGCATGGAGCAGGGCTGAGCATGTGGTGGTTAATGTTCACTTAATCTCTACCCACACTCCACCTACTTCAGTGGAAGTTCTTATGGCCTCGTCCTCCTCTCTGCCAGGACCTCCTGGGTTCCTTCTTACCACCAAGTCAGTCAGAACAGGCTGCCCCACAAAAGCATAAAAGGTGATTCATCCAGCATATTACAAATTAGACTCTGGAGTTCACCTGCTCAGGTTCAAATCCCAGCTTCACTGTTGTGTGACCCTAAGAAACTTACCACTTTTCTGTGCTTCCGTTTTCCCACCTAGAAAATGGAGATCATATCTCCCTTCTAGGGTTTTTGTGGAGGTTAAGTGAGTTACCATATGTAAAGTTCTTAAAACAATGCCTGAGACATGGTCTTTCATGGATGCTTCCGGAGAAGCTGGGTTAGATCAGGCAGGAAGCTTTGCCACAATCACAGACCAAACTTGCCTCATTATTATCAGCGTCTGGCACATAGTAGGTGGTCAATAAATACTGAACAAATAAACATATGATTGAATGAATGGAACTTGGGTCCCAAAGAAGAGGTAATCCCAATTCTCTGTTCACCCAAACACATGAAGACTTCTGTGCACTATAGACTGGGTGAACTGTTACAAGTTTCCCACCTTCTTGATCTTCCTACTGGCAGAAACAAATGTACTTTTTTTTTTCAATTTAGGGGCCAGAACATGACCCAGAGAAATCCCCTCCCAAAGGGAAAAGCTTCAGTCTGGTGCTCAAGGCCAGAGGAATGGGGCATCATTCTTCTTATAGGGGCAGGGTCAGAGGAGGAGGCTCCTGGGCTGGAGCCACATCTGCTGAGTCTGCTCAGAAGGGAAGGGATGGACAGACTGGACTGGAGGGGCAGGTGGCTGTCTACCCTGACCCCCTCTCCAACTGGGTCTACTCGCACCTCCATTTTCCTAAAGGTTGGGAACGAACCGCCTTGTACCTTGAGTCTCCAGACATAGAGGGGATTTGATCCCAAGCCCAAAGTTTTGTCTCCAGAGCCCAACAGCCTGGATTGGAATCCCCCCTCCTTCACTTCCTGGCTCTGTGACCTTGAGGCTGTCATTATTCCTCCTGGGCCTCAGCTTCCTTGTGAAGAGGGCATGTGATGGTTCCCACAGGATGGCGGTGATGCGAGAGGCAGCCTCCACCCCAGCACTGACAAGCAGCCAGCACTCTGGCCGCCTAGGTCCTAGCCCTCTCCATCCTGAGTCCCTAGAGGTGGCGCAGGCATCTACGGGAGGGAGGGTTGATGTTTATGGAGCTGACATCCCCTTCCCCTACTCAGCATCTCAGTGCCTCATTTCCAGAACAAGGAAGGCCAGCGAGGCTGGGAAAACCCAGTCTTTCCACATATCTTCAAAGGTTTTCTATGCAACACTCTTCTGGAAAGCACGGGGAAGAACTGCAAACCAAGGAGACTGCCCCAAGTCCAAAGGCCCTGGGTGAGGCCATCTCCTCAGCAGCCAGACTGGGCTGGTCCAGCCTGACAGCTTCGCCCTGTCCTACGCCTCCTCTCTGCTCTCAGTGCGGCCTCCATCTAGTGGTACCAAAGCAGCGCCTTTCCACACACCTCGCTTCCCATCTTCCTAACCTCTTGAGCTGGAATTCGCAGCTGCCAGGGCCTGGGAGCCCATCTACTGAGACCTGGGTACTCCAGAGGCCCAGCTCCGTTGCTCACTTTACAGGATCCCAGAGGAGGCCCAGAGGGGATGCAGAGGACCCCAAGGCTGTCAGGCGTGGAGGTGGGGCATGCTGCTCAGCAGCAACCAGGGCTGGGGACCATCCTGCGGTTGACTGCAGATATGGTGCCAAAGCAGGACAGGCCTCAGCGAAATCCTATTTCCCTTCCCCCCACCCCCATGGGTGAAAAGCCCACTTCAGAACTCAGGCGTTTAAAAGCCGCCAACCCCTACATTTCCTTTGCCCCATTTTCTGCTCCCCGCCGCACACCCCCCCCCCACGTTGGCATTTCTCGGTAAGGCCCCAGCTCCTTCATCTTAGGGGAAGCTCTGACTCAGAACCTTAAAACATCTTACACACAAACTTAAGAAAACAAACTTCGGGGGGGACACGGCAAGGAAGAGTCCCCTAGGGCCCCTTTAGTAAAGGGGGGCTGGAGGGGGCTGGGGCTTTTCCAAAGAGAGGTCCTTCCC